CTTGACTCTAAAGATGCTGAAAGTTTCATAAAAATTTCCCAAAATATTCATCTTTGCTAGATCAGTAAATATCGGCGTAAAAATGGAAGTTTTGAATCAACAGCACTCTCTCATTTAAAAATTCGTATCTTCCAGAATAACACAATTTAAAATTTTCCAGCTCTGCACAAGAGTCTTTCCTCTAAAGGTTCTCGAGTTTGATAGAAATCGCCAGAAATCCTGATTTTTGCCGACTTAATAAATATCGGTCTCAAAATGGGCGTTTCTACCTAACTGCGCTGCTTTTTTCAAAAATTCACATTTTCTAAACTGAGCCACGCAGCCATTCGATTTTTTCACTATTTTTAGAAGATACGTGACTCTAAAGATGCTGAAAGTTTCATAAAAATCGCCAAAAACTCTGATTTTTACCAGCTTGGTAAATGTGAGTCTCAAAATGACGGGAAAAAAATCAACAAATCTCGACTGGAAAACCGATCATAAGCTTCTTGGGTATTTCAACATATTTAGCGCCAATCGGACACACAAAAGACTTATGTTTGAGGATGGGCAAAAAAATAATAAACGGCCAACAAAAATGAGCGATTTTTGAGCAAAACCCAAGGGTTTTGAACCGTTGAATTTTAGAATCGCAACGTTTCTGTTGCAACTCCTGAACTGCTCTTCACACATTGTTGCGCGTGAACAAATACATGCAAAAATGGGAGAGTGTGATTGAACAAAAGTCCTTAGGTGAGCTCCCACATGATGAAACTGTTGTTCCAAAAAACGAGCTGTATTCCGCGCTATCCATCCAATCGATCGGATTTTGTAATGGCTTTTTATAAATCATCAACCGGGTTTATTTTCGGAGCCCATTGTCGGACAATCCCGATCAAATAATAATCATGCGTCACAACGCTCTATTTTTATTTCGAAGAGTTGCGTGGACTCATCGTGTGAAAATAGGTCGCGCCCGCTCACAGATCCAAGAAAACTGCGAAGAATCCAATAACACTTTTACTGTTTTCTGTTTCAGATTCGATGGTTGCCCGTCGCAAAAACTAACCGGCCCCTATCAAAAACAAAATGCAGAGCGGCCAGGGTGGGCGTGGCCCTCCTAGGGGCGCCTGGTCGCCTCTACCGTTCCGCCCCTCATCCCCTTACGCCCAATCGCCTCCTCCGCGTCTTACCAGTCCGAGTGTAAACATGTTTGCAGGCCGCATGCCTTTGTGTCCGCGCCCCAGATGGCCTTTGGGACCTTCTGGTATCCAGTCACCTTCACCTGGACCGCGACCCTTCAGACTACCCATGCACCCGGTAAGTGTTCATCCCTACCAGCAGGACCTTTTCCTCATTTTACCCCCCAGTGTTTCACTCAATTTGGGGCAAAAAATCGCTTTATTGACACAAATTGGAACAAATAATCGCTCATCAGCTGCTGCGTTAAGAGGCTTCATCCGGAAAGCCCCGCCCTGCGAAGAAAGGGCAAATGCAACTTTTAACGATTTGGTGGAAATATTGCGTCACTTGTGCCAGAATGCAGCTCCAAAATTTTCCTGATCACCAGCGGAATGTCGAAGAGCTTTTCCTCTAAAGGTTCTCAAAGTTTTATAGAAATCGCCAGAAATCCTAATTTTTGCCGGCTTAGTAAATGTCGGTCTCAAAATGGATGTTTCTACATAAATGCTCTGCTTTTTTCAAAAATTCATGTTTTCTAAACTTAGCCACGCAGCTATTAGATTTTTTCACCACTTTGGAAGACACTTGACGCTAAAGATGCTGAAAGTTTCATAAAAATCTCCCAAAATCTTGATCTTTGCTAACTCAGTAAATATCGGTCTCAAAATTGAAGGTTTGATTCAACAGCACTCTCTCGTTCAAAAATTCGTATCTTCCAGAATAACAGATGTAGCAATTCGAAATTTTCTAAGTCTGTAGAAGAGCCTTTCCTCTAAAGGTCATAAAAGTTTTATCGAAATCGCCAGAAATCCAAATTTTTGCCGGCTTAGTAAATACCGGTCTCAAAATGGACGTTTCTACCTAAATGCTCTGCTTTTTTCAAAAATTCATGTTTTCTACATTGAGCCACGCAGCCATTAGATTTTTTCACCACTTTTGGAAGACACTTGACTCTAACGATGCTGAAAGTTTCATAAAAATCTCCCAAAA